AACACTAGTGCAGTATATATCTCTCCTGAGAGAAATTAGAAGTGAATTTATCCCAGCAGAATACTTGAGTGCCTGAAATGGCTCTCTTCAGTAGTGTGACTTTTAGAAAGTACCCTGATAGTTAGGAAGCTAACAGTCTTAAAAACAGATGAGCTTCCTGAGAATAAAACAAAATGTGGCTTTCTATACAATTTATGCTTTTCAAAAGTGATGAGAAGAAAAGGACTGACTGGGGCTCAACATTAAAAGCAGCTGTTTAATATTTCCCTCTTACTAAATAGTAAGAAACTTTGACTGTACAGGAATACTTTTGCTAATTGGTTTTCTGGTTTTTTTTGTTTTTTGTTTTTTTCAACTTTGGGGAATGGATTTGATGGTGTATAATCAGTTTTACTAACCAAAGCTTTATTTGAAAACTTAACTTTTTGTACAAATTGAATTACATGCTTGAATACTTTAAGTCACTTTATAAGCAAAATGCATACATAGCACTTAATTTGTTTATACTGTAAAATATATGTTAAATGGTTTTATCAATTTGGGAATAAAGATAGTTACTAATGCTGTTGTATTTTTATAACTTTAAAGAACTAATCAAATATTTATTACAAAGCTGTGATTTTAGCTTCAAATCTATCATTTGATAAATGTGTAAACACAGTGGTAGACTGGCTGGTTTGAAGATTCAAGATTAGGCACATTGAATTTGTTCTTATGCTCTAGTAACTATGAAATTTACAATGAAAATGATTCATGATTGAAAATAAGGACTAAGTTCTTTATGTATTCAGAATAAAAGCTATACTCTTAGAAATACGACTCTCGGGGTCCAAGAGATGGCTCGGTGGCTAAAAGCTGGTGAATATTCTTGGCAGTTTTTAGACCCACGTCTTGCCACAGCCATCTGATGCCTCTGGCCCCATGGGCACCTGCATTCACTTACATGTACACACTCCCAGACAGTCACATTAATTAAAACATAAGAATAAATATTTCTTCAAGTTTTTAAAGAGTTTCTTTTAAGTTAGCCAGCCATATTAGAAATCTATATAAGTCAGAATAGTTTTTACACCATTGAAATTACTGTAATCTACTATCTTAAATAGGTTTCAGGAAACAGGTCCAGTTTAGTGTGGTGATCTAGACTATTTATCTTAAAAACAGGCCTTGGTAAATAGCAAATAAGTTAATGCAATCTATTTGTGCAGAATCTGTTTATACTTGAGGCCACTTTTAATATTAACAAGAGGTAAGAAAAGCCTCACCTCTGTGCTGGCCACAAACTCCTTTAAGAAAAGAAAGCATTTCTCAGAGACTATCAGCCCCTTAAAGTGTAAATACCTAAATCGTTTCAACAAGGAAGAAACTCTTGAAGGCACTTGGAAGAGCATGAAGCTACCTGGTGAGTAAGAAAGAGTGTGTTTAATAAGGTTGGCTGGGTGCTATGGAACAGACCTTTAAGCTATTTAGAAGGCTAAGACGGGGAGGATTACAATTCAAGGCCCACTCAAGCTACCAGTGAAAGGCCAGCCTGGCAACTTAAACCTCATCTCAAAAAGTTCAAGGAGGCTAGCTGTAGGGATATACTAGCTCAGTGGTAAAAGGCTTCCCTCTTAAGTTTGAGAGCCTAGGTTCAAATCTCAGTACCACCGAACACATTTTCACGTTAGAGAAACTATAAAGAATGTATTCTTACTCTTAAATAATTCCCTCTATGTATATAATGTATTTTGGTCATTTTCACTCCCCATTACTCTTATCTTCCACTCTTGCTGAACCCCCTTCTCCCCAGCAAGTTTTGCTTCTACGTTCATGTCTGTCTGTTCCTGAGGCCCACTGACTTTACCTGGATATGCTTACATGAGCAGGGTGGGAGGTTACTGAAGCATGGGCAGCTAATTAGTGGCAATACCACTGGAAAAAATGACTCTTCTTTGCCCAGCAAACAAACTACCAGTAGTTTAATAGAGATGGGTGTGGCCCCTGAGCCACAGCCCCATCCTTGATGGAATGTTTACACCCCATCCCGGGCAGATAAACACAGGTGCTGTGAGTTTGTGAATGCAGTAGCCGTGTCCTGCCCAGGTGGCAGTGTTCCATAGCCCCTTTGCCATCCTCTAGCTCTTGGAGTATTTCTGCTACCTCTTCCGTGATGCTTACCGAGCCTTGGGGGGAATGATGATAGATGTCCTGTTGAGGGCTGAGCACTAAACTGTTAACTCTCAGCATTTTGACCCAGATATTAAGAGACTTGTCTTTTTCCTTCTGATTTTTCTGAGGAACCATTATTGAGTAGAAGTTCTGAGTGTTGATAGTTATTTCACCCTTTAGCTATTTTCTTGTATCTGCAGTAATAGATATTACATGATAATGAGCATGATTAATGGGTGAGGATACATTTATTTTGAATCTCTAATATTCAAGTTTTAACATTCTTTTAAAAGAAATACTACACATTTGTAACTTGAATTGACATAGAAAGAGAAACACCGTAACTCAAATGGCTACAACATTTACTTTGCAGATCAGTTTTTGATGAGTGGAGAAAGAACCTGGTCAAATAGAGACCCCCAAAGCAAATGTTTTCCTTGGATTAAAATCTGAAAATGTCCTTGGTCTTCTGTATGGTTCTGTCCTTGCCAGAGCCAGAGACAACAGAAAAGAGGCCTATCTCCCTCCCTAATGACTTGCCTGTCTGGAATCTATGTCTAGCAGCCCTGGACCATCTCATGGTTGAGCCAGCTGCCTGTCTCATCCTCTCCCCACACTCCAGTCTCTGCTGCAAATCCAATAAAAAGCCCCTAGACCAGCAGTAGTTCCATGTTCTTCCATTTCCCAAAATCTGCTCTGCTACACAGGAACTCTGCCTCCTTTTAAACTCCCACCTATGAATCTATAATAAAACTACTTCCTAAACTCATCCTCTTGTTGCCTATGAATTGCATTCTTTGGATATACATACAAGAATCCAGAGGCCACTGACTATTTTCTGTGACCATGAGCTTCAGGCACCTGAAGTTTTAAAGCCCACCCAAAGCCTCACAGAAATTATTCAAAGTCAGAGACCCCCCTATTTTCCTCATATTTTGGTTTCTCAACTACTGTTTGAAAGAATGTTATGAATCATCTCCACCTCAAAGTTGGTTTTCACCTTACAGATCCGTTTCACAGCTTGGTAAACCTGGGAGGTCATGTGAATTACATTTCTGTCATCTCCGACTCACTCTATATCTAGTACTTTCACAGACTTTCTTCATTTACTAATCTCCACAATCAAAGACCCAGAATGCTGTCTCACATGATAGAATCTTGTTCTAGAGGTCAAATTCCATGTGCATGTTCTCTGGCCCTTGTGCTACAAACCAATCTGTGATTTAAAATGACATACTTGGTACAAGAATTTTTGTTTGTCGCCTCAGGGCAGCTGGGAAATCCTAACGTTTCCAGAGTGGTGTAAGTTACTGTTGCCTGAGTTTAGCTACTAGACAGTGGTAATGTGGAGAGTCTTACACCACATTCTGAAGACAATCAGGTCAAAGAGGTAACATTTTGGGGTTGGCTTTGGCATGTAACAGTAAGCAGATAAACTGGTGGCAGTGGAACCCTGTTCTCGATGTGTATGAGGACTGCCTCTTTGTGGTAGGCAGACCAGTGCAATGGGTGGGGGGTGGCACTCTGGCCTTGTAAGGGCTTATACTTTTAAGCAATAAGTAAACTAAACAAATGAAGATCAAAGATACAAAGTCGAAGCCCTGGTTTCGTCTTTTGTTTTTATTAGACTGAACAGAAACAACACAGATAGGTAACATTTGGTGCACAGATACTGGTCTAAAGGCCACAGTCTGAATACTACTGAAAAGCATCCATCGTACCCATGCATTCGGCATAACCCGAGTGAAAACACAATTCCAGGTCACTTAACCTTGCTAAGCCCGGACTTAATGCATCTGGGCCAGCAGAGATGATGAGGCTTTCTATGACAGCTAAACAGTAGTGTACTAACCTCTCAAGAACAATCAAATACTAGGTGAAACTGAATAATGGCACATTTGCATATTCAACAGACTTTTTCCCCATTGTGGTGCTAGTGTGTTTTTATGGATAGGGGAAAAGAACAAAAGAAAAAAATGGTTTAACTGATAAATACATGACCTTGAGAACCTGTCTAATGCTCCTAGTAAAACATAGTGAATTGAAGGTCCTTAACAAAATCCCATCCTTTCCAGGAAAAAGTACCCTCTTCTTCTGTATAGCCTTGTTAGGACACAGGAACAGATAGCCTGTAATCTATTAGGAAAAAATCAAGCACGCCAGCTTGTGCTCCTTTAATCTCAATAGTCCTCTGAGGCCATATATGCATTCATTGTGCCCTTCCTAGGCCAACATAGGTGCCCTCAACCTTCTTCACATTCCCCGCCAAAGAATCATTTAGAGATGTTAAGTTGCTTATATCACAACAGCTAGCCAATTCTAAAACAGTGGTGAGACATTCTGCTCTTTAATACTGTATTTACCATGTCCAGAGGCACTGTTCCAGCAATGGAGTCCTGTCAAGTCTTCAGGTTATGTAACTAGAAAGCAGTCAGACCCCAAAGTTACAACAGCTATAAAAAATATCTATTCTTTAAATGACCCAAAAGCCCTTAAACTAAGAAACAGCACTACCATAACAGAAAAGGTAGCCCTAGAAAAATGTCAGCACTGGGATCACAGAACTCCATGGCTGAGATCAACTGATTCTCAGTAAGATCAAGATGGCACTGCATTCCCTTTGGCCAATACAGTTCTGGTTTCTGCTTCTTTCCAAGAGTTGTGAATGTCAGTATACTGCACTTCCAACAATGAGCACTTCACCTTGCTACCCCGAGGAGGGAAAGTGAAGAAAGGCACGATGTAAAAACAGCCCTGGAAGAGAATGGCTGCAGGCAGGTGGGGAGAGCAGGGAAAGCAAAGTGTCACAGGTCAGGAAGTGCGGTGCGTCTGGTAGGTAAAGGGAGTCCCTCATATGTTATTTTGACAAAGGGGAATTTCATAGGTAGAAACCAATACTCAAAGTTATAAAACAGGTAGAACTCTCTGTGCATAATCACTGAATCAAAAATTTTCAAGAGACTCAACAGAAATTCTTTAGTTGACAGATGTGGTTTGAAGAGGGCATAAAATTCCTTTATGGCTGAAGCAAGAGTCTTGTTTCCTTTTGGCCCAAAAATAGATGTTTCATTTCCCAAGTAAGTAGGTTCTCCACTGTAAAGAAATATTCTTGTATAGTTTGTTTCTATCTTCTTGAATTCTGCTCCAAATTCAGCCAGTTTCTCATATGTCCTTAACACAAATTTTGAACAGTCGTAGGATTCAAACCATGTCTCCATCCCTTTTCCTGGGCTGGCCTGGACCGTCCATGTCTCATAATAAATACCTGTTTCATTGTCCTGTTTCACCCACTCTGCCATTTTGTTAAATGTGTTTCCTAGTTTAGAAAAAGCAACAAAAACAAACTGCTTATAAAATGTTCTGAGATCCAATTAAGACCAGGTTGAAAGACCAAGAAATACTTTAAAACTTAAAAACCTGTGTCCCACAGCAGGAAGGCAAGCATAGCTACATTTTCTTCCATTCCTCGAGGCCTCTGAATTGCAAATACAAGATATAATGGGGATATAAAGAGAACTCTTAAAATTCTACAGTTACTTAAGCTACAGTCAAAGTGACAGTCAAGAATATGACTGTACGTATGCAATACCTAATTTTTCAATTTTCAGCAAGTCTTGGATTCAGAAGCAAAAGAGAAGAGCGAAGCAAGAGCTGGAAGACAGAAGGGTGAAAGATACAGTGTAAGAACAAGCAGGAAGGGTGAACTGATGAGCTGGCAAAAAGCGTGGGATGCTTAGTAGGCCTGGCTGCCCAGGTGCAGCAGCTCCTGCATAAGCTACAGACAGCCTCTCATCTGTGTGAATACCAGCTGTTCCCTTTTCTCCCTGTAGTACAGTTGCTGGGATACTGACCACCTGCCACACAAATCCCTCTAACCAGTCAACCAAACTGGACACTATTGGTGCTAGATTCACTGACTACATGGACCCCTGGGTGGCTAAGTCTTCTACCACCATCTTGCACCAGATCAGAAGACTGTCTCCGAATACTTAGAATGCTGCTGTTCTGCATGATACAACCCACATCTGGGCACCTGCAGACACAACAGTTGTAGGCTGCCAAATCTCACTAGCAGCAAGCCTTCTTGCGTAACTCCTGCCTAGGTTCATGATATAAACAGCAAGTCTGTCAAGGGAATCCACTGGGTATCTACTACTTTAGGGAAATAAAACTGCAGTGTCTGCTTCAGAACTGGAGGCACAGTTCTTAGTAAGTAACTTGGAAAAGCTGCACTTGAAAGACACTATGTCGTAATATCCAGAAAAGGTCATGAGACGGGATTAGTCACAGGCAAGATGAAGAATGAATTTACAAGCTTAAAATTCGAGCAAATGGAAGCGTTTTACAGAAGTGTGGCTGTTTTATGTGATTATCAGCTTATGTGAGGAGAGAGGAAGGGGTGAACTGGCTTGGAATGTAAGACAGAAGCCACTCAGTGTTGCTGAGAGAGCCGGGCTTTCTTGGCTGGGATGTTTGGGTCATGTGAATTAGAAAGTAGAAGGAAAGATTAGAAAAGCAGTGTTTGCATTAAAAGACTGCAGGTTACATTTAAAAGACCTCGACTATGTACATGGCCTGTCCCATCCAGCTCTGTGACGGAAAGTGTCAGCCATGTCACTGCTGAGCTCACCTGTGACAGTTCCTTACCTGTAAAATCCAAGGGAGGTCTTACCCTCCCCCACTGAACTATGAGTTAGCACACCTTAAACTGTCCTCAAGTCCTGGGGTTTGTGGGACAGTTAGCATTACAAACAGTGCTTTTATTCACCACTTTGCTTCTGCAGACAAACACCATGCATAAAGTGGGGGAGGGGGCACGACACGACGACGACACGCATACTATGAGCAGGCCCTGAATTCTCCACAAGAGGCATCGCACCAGTAAAGTAAATGTGACCCAAGCTCACTTTATTAGTTAATGACACAAAGTTCCCATGATAGGAGAATCAACAAAATACAAAATTAGAATTGTGTCATCAACTTCCCAGATGGATAGGCATCGCTTGAGAGGACTTGAAATGTATTGGAAGAAATCTGGGGAGGCCGTGTACCAAAACTGTTACGAGAATGGCTTTGTAGGGCCTTCCTATCAAGGCTGGAGTCCATGGCTTTAATCTCTATCTGTTTTCCCATCTGCACAAAGGATGAGTCTCTCAGGAGTCTGGGATACTGGTAAGTGACATGCTGTAAGAACAGCATTCAGAACAGGGCCAGACCCACAGGAAGCAAACCCTTAATATTTCTCCACCTAAAAATAGTTTATAGCCACTATTTGTTCAGATACACTTAAGTGGCCTTCCTAAAGGGTCTCCTATCTGTTGTTTATTGGATTTCCTTTAGCTATACACAGCATTTGTTTCATTCATGTTTATCGTGGGCAGAGCAGAAGATGAGCCACGCATCCCCTGGCAAGGCTCTGCATCGGGATCCATTCGGTTCTAGGTGTTAAGGGGACCAGAAGCATAGACTACAATTGATCACCATGAGGCAGACTATGACAGAAATCTCAGTGAATGAATGAAATCTTGTGCTTGTGTATTAATGCAATCATCCAACTACTTTACTTCTGAAACTTACCTGACATGGTTGCAACTGGAGCTAATGTCCCGTTTTCCCTCCAGTGTTTATCATCAATTCCTTCAAAAAAGCAGGCCGCTCCTTGGTTACACCAGAACGGAGCATCCATTTCAGGTCGAAGGTGAGGAAATGTACAGTTGCCAAGCTGAAAAAGCTCATACCATTCCATTGTGTAATTCTTGCCAGTCAGTGTATTCCTGAATCCGATAGCATCATGCATAATTTTCTGTGTGGAGACAAAAGGGGTGAAAGCATCTGTGAGTAACCATGGGACCAGGCCACCTACCGGGAGCGTTTTGTACACCATGAACACACATCAAGAATAACAACTGCTACACTTCTGTGTCCCTATCCCTATGGTTGACACCGAGGCCCCTCAAACTGTAGGCACCCATCGCTGTGGTTTTGGCAGCTAGGGCTCGTTTTGGTGGGGATGTGAGCTATGTGAAGGCACTTGGAAATTTTCTCACAGCTCACAGCATGAAAAGCCATCATGGATGTTCCAGGGAGATTCACTGAGCTGGGAAAGGGCTTACAGCAAAGCTTAGAGATCCAGATGTGATTCCTGCCGGCCTGCCTTTTGCCCTTCTCATTCCCAGGAGCTCAGTACAGGATACAGTAGAATTTACATTGTTGCCATGTAGCTCCTCCTGAGAACACATAGACTCTTGAAGCCAATAGAAACACAGTCTTCATTCACAGGCCAGAAGGCTACATAGGGAACTTGCCCAAGTAGGGCAGTCACAAGGCTTACCCATCTTGGCTTTTTATGCACAAAACACATCCTGGTTAATGCACTTTAATTTAGCAAGAACAGCAATAAATGGAGCTACAGAGGCCAAAAAAGCAAGGTTTGTACATTTAGGGACTTTCCCAGAACTATGGCCTATAATAGATTGTGGGTCTTTGTTCTCATTTTGGCAGGTGTTGGGGTCTACGTGCTGGGCTCTTAGGTCAGAATGGTGTCTTGGTGCCTCTAACATGGTGTCAATTGTGCTAAGGTCTGGGGGCCCATTACAAGATCCTTCATAGTGTTAAGGCCAGTATACTTGTTACTCACTGTAGCTTTTGCTTTGTTTTTGAGACATATAGCCCAGATGGATGAAATACTAATTCTCTTGCTTGGCCCTTCCAAGTGCTGGGATTAAAAGTGTGCAGTACCATGCAGATTCGATGGTAACTCCTTCTGACTACCAACTTAGCAGGTACTAAGAAGTCTATCATGGACTGGGGAGATTGCTAAATGGGTAAGAATGCTTGCTATGCAAGAATGAAGATCCTAGTTCAAATCCTTAGCACCCATCTAAAAGCCAGGCATTGGACTTGTATCTATGACCCCAGTTTTGAGGTCAAGCTCACTGGCCAGGCAGTTTAGATGAAAATGTAAGCTTCGGGACCAGTGAGAGACTGTCCCAAGGCAGGAATATGGAGCATGACATCCAACGTGCTCCTTCTGCTACTTCATGCTTGTCAACACACACACACACACACACACACACACACACACACACACACGCACACACGCACACACGCACACACGCACAAGCACACGCGCACAATGTGTATCAATAAATATGATCTAGTAACCATGTGATTACTAATTGAAGCCAAAGGAATAACTAAATTACTTAAGCAAAGTTGCAAGATCAAGATGCATTCTTACAAAGTGTCCCAGGAGGTCTCCATATTTAAATTCCCAGACAGGGGTTTGTAGTCTTAAGACTTCGATGATGTCATTGTCCTTCATCACTGGGATGGGTGAGCCAGTAGGACAGAACGTATACTTAGCTTGACAGTAGGGATCTGGCTTCGGACGGAAAGAGAAGCGTCTAGTAAGAAAGAAACCATCAAATGAGATCATGAAAGAAACTGCTCTTCTAACACACTATAGAATCCCAATTTTCATTTCAGGCTCTGCTCTCCGCTCTCTTTATCTGTGTTTGGGTGGGTGGTGGTGGGGAGTTACATGTGATGTGTGCACACGTACAGGTGCCTTTCCTTGATGGCTTTACACCTTTACTTTTCCAAACAGTCTCTCATTAAACAGGCTAGCCAATGAGCTTCACGAATCTGCCTTCCTCTGCTCCTCCCTCCGAAGGTTAGGGTTACAGAGCACTGCCATGTTGGTTTCTACTTGAGTTCAGAGAATCCAAACACACATCATAGGGATTGTGCTCTCCGTGGTCCTCAGCAATAATTAAGGAAAATATTTGAAGCTTAGATCATGGTGACTAAACATAAACGCACATTTTACTTGTTTTCATAAGCATACTTGCAATGATGCATCAAATATCGTCATAAAGTAGACTTGGTATCTGAATGTAAACATTCACCTAATTTTTACCAAGGATCTACCATGTACAGGGCCACACTGAGAAGAAAGGGAACAAAAATTATAAGCCTCTTCCCTTCCTCCCCGAGCTTGGGGGTTGGGGCTTGGAAGATGTTAAGTCAAACGGCAGCTGTGGTAAGAACTAAACTGAGGAAATAGTGACCTCAGACACAAGGGAGGAAGAAATCAGCTTCAACTGTTGAGGATGGGTAGCACTATTAGAAGGCACTGGGAAAGAAAGCTAGACCAGGAAGGGAAAGAGAATTGTTATAAGACACACAGGAAATATCTTAGTGCTTCCCAACCTTCCTAATGCTGCAGCCCTTTAACACAGTTCTTCCTGTTGTGGGGACCCCCTACCATAAAATTATTTTATTGCTACTTCATGATTGATTTCACTACTTTTTTGAATTGTAATATAAAAATATCCGATATGCAGGATATCTAATATGAGGCCCCTGTAAAGGATTATTTGACCCACTAAGGGTGTCAAAACCCGGAGGTTGAGAACCACCGAAATATCAAAAGTGCTCCAGCAACTGCAGACAAGAGTTCAGGCCTCAAGAGCAGACAGGGGCTAACAAGTCTGTCATAGGAACTATGACATGGTTTCCTACAGCCCCTGACATGGGGACCTTGAGCCCTGAATGAGCCAGGGGATTTTAAAAAGCAGATCTGATCAGGCCGAATAGACCCGAAAGTCATCCTTATTGTACGAATTAGAAGAATCACAGGGTTTAAAAATCAGGCTGAGACCAGTCAGGAAGGCTGCAAAGATGCTAAACCCTCAGAAGGACACACAACTGGAACAGACTGGGACCATGGCTCAGCACACTTGTCTTCTGATCGCCTCCCAGGCCTGGGCGCACTTGTGCATAGGAAAGAGGAAGAACACTAAGACCCCAAAGGTTCCAGCCAGAGCAAGTTATTACAGTCTTAACACAGAAACAAAATCTTCTTTAAGTGGCTTAACAAACATCTAGCTACATGTGAGCTTCATTACCCACAGAAAAATCTATTTTAGGTCAAAGGTGAGTTTATAAGTAGAACTCAATTGAAATTTTCATAAAGGTAAATATACCAGTTGGTCAGGAGGGAGTGTCAAGCTGGGGCTTCTTTGGAAGCAAATATCAGTCAGCCCCCTTGTCCTGACATTAAATTAAATAGATTTGCGATTTCTCCCTTGTTTTATTGTATATTTAGTTTTTATTTCCTGTGAATATTTTCATGAAAACCAGCTTCGACCCTAAACCTTTTTTTCATATATATTAAGCAGAACCAGTTCATGAACGTAACACACGAATATTTAAGTTTGGCCACAGCTGGTTGTATCTAGGGATGATGCTGCCATTGACGGCGCTACTACTATTTCTTGTTTTCTGGTCAGGGAGCATGACGATACCGAGTAATTTTCTTAAGAGCGCACCGAGGATGAACTAGCTGGTCCAACAAATTTGATCTTCAGACTTCAGAACCAAGAACTCCCTGGAAAACTATGCCATCCTTCATCACGCCACGACCTTTCAAAAGCCGTGGTTCCTTCTTCCACACGGGGGGGGGGGCGCTCTCCACCCACCTCCAAGCCCCCGCCCCCTGGGGTTTGGCAACCTCACACTGGCTGTCAAAACTTTGCTAGGTCAAAGACTCCAGGTCCAGAGCCAACACCTCCAGGTAGAAGTGGACCAACGAGGCGATCCTGATTGTCCCAGGGAGGGCTCTTCCCAGGTTTGGAATTTGGAGCGGTAAGATTGGGAAAGCCGAGGCACACGGGGGCAGGCTACCTCCCCTCCCAGTAAATTCTGCAAACGTTATGCAAAACAGCTAGTGATAAAGCAAGAGATACATTTAGTATTTCACTCGTGTTTTCTTAACCTGCTCTCCGAGTCGGTTA